TAGGACTGTGTGTCATAAACAGTATATAACAGCTGAAATAATATCTGATTAAATAAGATATTCCCCTCTAAAAAACATAAAGCAGTGCAGATAAAAACAGAGTAGCTAATGTATATGTAAAATAACATTTACACAATCAAATCAATACAACTGGGCAAAAGATAAAAGGAGTAAAACATTTTTAAAAAGATGTGTTTAGATGTGCTTAACAACTTAATTGTCAGTTTGGTTCCAGCAGAAGTTAACCTGTGGAGGATCTGCAGCACAGGGTGCGCTGCAAAGGTCACCTTGACAGGTCATCAGTTAATCTTGGAGAAAAATTAGATAAAAACACTCATCCACATGCATAGATATGAACAGACTAACAGGTAGCCCCTATGGGAATCAATGACTAATAAAACCTGGTAGCCAACAATAAACTAAGAAATGGAGATTCACTGGTTTGACAAACCAATCTTCCAAAAGGAGAAATAATCCAAAGACAGTTTTCCAAACATTAAAATGATGGTTTATTAATACATTGCAGCAAACAAGAGACAAAGTTATAATCAAAGTAACTCAATATAATGTTCTCCAATAAAACCTCATTTTATAAAAGTGAAAAAACAAACATCTGAACTTGAAGGCAAACCAATTCCAGATATTTATCATTATAAGCTATGACTATATGGCCTGTAATATAAAACAGCCTTCGAAATGTGTCTTCATTTTACCTTCATTGGGACAGAAAGAAACTTTATTAGGTCTTGAAGTTGAATTTAACTGTATGTTCCTCTCCAGTTGTCATATCGGTCCCTGTAGCTGTTATCTCTGTAGAGCCAAACTTCACCTTCAGTTTAACTTTACGTTCTCTGCTGCTGTTAAGATCAGAGAGTTCAACTATAAATGAACCCACTTCTTCTACCCCCCAATCATCTACATATTGTGGATCTTTTCTTTCAGTCATAAACAATCGAACACTCATCCCCGTCTGATTAGAATCTACTGCCCTCAGTACATGCTCTCTGGTTTCATCCCAGCCCAAATCTTCACCTTCATGCACCAGTATTTTAAAAATGTCCTTACACCAATCGTTTCCACCTGCTGTATGTTTCTTCTCTAGTTTATGTGTAGACTCATCAAATCTTTTTAACACGGCTACCCCATAAGTAAAACGGCTTTTCCGAGACGTCACCATCTTTGGGTTTCTTCCAAACTCTATAGCTCCTCTCAGGATCACTTCCTGGGGTCTAAAAGGACACAGGATTTTATAATCTTCTCCAAACTCTTCATTAATGTGCTGACGGAGTATCTGGCTCTCTGCATAACCTCCCACTAACAGGATGTAATCAAAGCTGAGATCTTTGTTTAATATTTCTCTTAGCCTCATACTGATGCCCAGCAGACTCTCATCAAAGAAAGACCTCAGTTTCTCTCTGGAGATTCTGATGGATCCATCACACCAGAAAACTCCATCCACTGATTCAAAGAATCTTTCAATGTCTTTCTTTTTCCGGGCCAGTTTTATCAGATTATATGGACACCTGATCTGAATCTCACCATCTACCCGTTTGACAAAGGTAAAATCATAGAGTATCTTTTGAACCTCACTCTGATAATTTTCTTCATATTCCTCCCAGACTCCATCACAGAATATTTCCCTCAGGAACTCTTTGAACTTTCTGTCCACAGTCTGTCCTCCCAGGTTGTTTCCAGAGGCCTTGTGCAGCTCCTTCAGAGCTCCTTCTTTAAGGATTCTGTGAACGGTGATGTCGATGGTTCCTCCTGAAATGCACAGAGTTTGATAAAGCTTTCAAATCATTGCAGATCACCTCTTAGTCTTCCTCATTAATAATGTCACAGCTTTTTACTACAGACGGCATCAGACAGTTACCTCCACAGTCAACAACAATATACTGAGTTCCTGGAGTCTGATCCAGAGAGTCTCTGCTCTGGTTCTGTGTGATGAAACCATTTGATGGAAGCTTCTTAGACCAGACTGAAGCTACTTCTGGTTCCAGTGCGATCACCAGTTTATCTTTAGTTTCTTCTGTTACAATACCTGCCTGGAAGATGATTATAAGGTAAAAACATTTCATATCAGAGCTTCTTTACTTTCTGTGAAACATGTTACCTGTATAGCAGCTTTTCTCATGAACTGTTTTGCTGACTCATCCCAGATGGCAGGAACAGTCAGGACCCAGATGAAGTCAGAGGCAGAGAACTCCATACCTCCTGTATTTGATCTGATGGTTTTTAGAGCATCGTCCTTCAGAAATCTCAGGGATTCAGAGAAAACCTTCAGAGCCGTAATTTCCTTATTGTTTGCTGCTTTAATCTTAAGATCCTTGGTAATCTCCTAAAATATAGAAATTATATGAAAAATCTTTATAAACATGCATGTAACTGTTTGACTTTCCACATTGTTGAAAACATAAAAATGTGTGTTGTAATATTCCTAAAAGTTGTTTTTAGAAGCTTTTTAGCTTTAACCCGAACACTAACACTCTAACAGGAACAAACTCACTGCTTTCATTTCCTGGTTTGTTAGAAAGGATTTTCCATGGATAATTTTTCTCATTTTATTACATCTATAAACAAATGTTGGTTATACTCTGGGAAATATTCTCTGACAATAGAGCATTTCAACAGCTTACATCAGTTCTGTTCTGTTTATAGCAGCAAGTAATAAAATATTTACATATTATGTTTCTCAATATTTGATTCAAAATGCTATAAGCTTCTTCCCTATCTGGTGTAGAATATCATACTAAATGAACAAAATAAAATGTTTATCATCCTTTTAAGTCACATTAATGGACAGTGCCTCGTAGCAAACATCTGTTGGGATAGATTCCACCTCTGTTACCCTGAAAGTGAAAAGTTTTCAGAAAACATTAATAATGAATAAATCTTTACTCACTTTGCCATAGAGGTCCATCTTAAAATCTTCAAAGAAATAATAATTCTTTGCCTCTTGTTTTTTTATTTTGAAATATGCTGATTTGGCTTCATAACCAAACTTCATAAATGTTTGATCTGGATCAAACAGGATGCAGGTTGGAGTCTTTGGGGTGTCTGCTCCCTCTTCTGCTCCCCATCTCTTTATAAAGGGTTCACTTTCTTCCTCTCTGCGTGTGACAGTGAAGGCAAATCCACTGGATGCAGTACCAAAGTCTATAGCGATAACAAAGTTATTCATTGTAGAAACTTGCTCTGCAGGATAAAAGCAAGAATAGCAGTGGAAGCAGAAACAGCAGAGTTTCTATCTGTTGGCTCCGCCCCCAGTGCTGCTGTTTATCTGCTCAGACAGGAAAGGCTGGTTTTATCGGTACATTACAGAGATTACAGTAAAGATTGTAAAAATAGATTCACATTTTCAGATTCATTTTTGACATTTGTTTTTAAATAAGTCATAGAAATTTGTATAAATATCACTTGTGAACTATCACTAAAAACTGTTTTGTTGATGACACATCATTAAAGTTCAGTGTTGATTGAGAACAAAACTCTTAGTGTTTGTAGAGGTTTAATGTTACACTACGTTCCGCCTGTCTGTTCCACAGAGGCTGCTAACGTCTTGCTGTTGCTTGTTGTGTTGTTTCCTGTGTTGTGAAATTTAATATTTATCCCCAAGAGATCCTGATACTATAGAAAATATATTTTTTGAACTATTCTCTGTTAGTAATTTGGACTTTATCAAATCTGACATTAGTGGCTTACAGGTACAAATTACTATCATGTTATTTGTTTAGATCATCATTAGCCGCTGCTAATGGCAAATCTTATATATTCTATATGTTCTTTATATATATTAAAAATCTAAAAATATTACATTAGTAATGCTACATTCACACTGCACGTGATTGAAGCAACAGAAGAAGCTGGTTTACATGTAAAGTCTATGGTTGACAGCATGTCTAGAGCAGCAGGAGCAGCAGGAGCAGTGCCTCATGAGCTTCTGAGAATCTGAGGCGCTTCAGCTGCAGCTGCTGGAGTTGGAAGAATTGAACTTTATCTGCTGGACGCGCCGCATCAACCAATGAGAGAAGCTGATCTGGGAGCTGGCAGGGAGTCAGACGCAGCACTGCTGATGCAGAGCGCTATGATCACTCCTCTGAAACAGTTTATTAACGCCTAAATTAACTTCAAATGTAGAAACCTGCCGGCAGAATATGTTGGCTTTTATTATCCTGCTGCCTGCAGTTTGTAGCACAGACCTGAAAAACGCTAACATCTACTTCCAGCCGCCACCAACAGGAGGGGAAAACCCTGGAGAGGCGAGCGGGCCTGAGGCAGCTGCTGCTGGGGATTCCCAGTGACAGCGCAGCGCCGGTATGTGGGGGTCTGAGCGGCTCCCACAGAGAAATAATCTTTGAAGGCAGGATGGTAATCTGGATGAACTGACTGCACAGACCATGTTTTCAGGAGGACTTTCTCACTTCAACATAGATTCTAACTACTTTTTACCCGCTCATATATGGAGGGGTCTCAATTTTCAGAAATACAGAAGGGATTCATACCTGCGCAGGAGAAGATTCCCTCAGTTATTTCAAGAAATTTACAAGATTCACCTCTGTCTGGTCTCTGCTTTTGAGTCCTCAAAAACCTCCACTCAACTCTTGACATCAAGTAGGTATATCAAAAAATTGGGTATATCAAAAAATCACTTACAGTCAGAGAAATTGGACTCCTGTAGGAACATGCGGTAAGAGGAAAAGCTGCTACAAACCCAACTACAAAATAGCTCCTTAAATGATTAAAAAGAACCTTCAATTATGTTCTAGAATCAGGGAATGTACCAGAATCATGGTCAGAGGCTGTCATTTCTGTCTGGCACAAGGAAGGAAAAGACCCCACTTAGTGTGGAAGTTATCATCCTGTTAGTTTATTGTGTAATGACTTAAAGATATTAAGTATAATGGCAAGTAGAATCTAAAAAAGGTATACAAAAATTTATAAAACCGGATCAAACAGGTTTTATATCTGGGCGACAGGGCTCTAACATCAGAAAGCTCTAAATCTCATGTCATGTGTCAGATTAAGTAAAAATACGAATATGTTTTTAAGTTTAGATGCTCAAAAAGCATTTGACAGCGTAAAATGGAAATATTTTTATTATGTCTATTCCGTGTTTGGATTTAATCCAAAGTTTATAGATTGGATTAAACTGGTCTATAAGGATCCCAAGTCTAGAATAAATAACAGACAATGCTCTGAATTCTTCTACCTGAAAAGAGGAGTAAGACAAGGGGATTGCTTAAACCTGCTACTTTTTACATCAAGTATAGAACCCTTAGCTGAATATATTAGACAAGATGGAAATATCAAAGGAATCAGAGATGAGGGAGACGTTAAAAATCTCCCTGTTTGCTGATGATTTTCTTCTATACATAAGGGAACCCGAAACAACACTGCCAATTCTAAATGACATTTTAAAGGAATATGGGATTATTTCAGGTTACAGATGAATAATGAATCAAAATCAACTGCTATGGTTGTTTCAGGGAACTGTTCATTAAAAAAGCTTAAATTCAAATGGACAACATATTCAGATATTTGGGCATTATTCTAACACCAAAACCATCTGATCTCTTTAAAGCAAATTTTACTAAGATCATAAGTGAAATCAGAAAAGATTTGACACGGTGGGATATACTTCCTCTCACATTAAGTGGACGAATAGAAGTGGTAAGGATGAATGTTCTGCCACGTTTATTGTTTCTGTTTCAATCCCTGCCTATCCTTCTTCCGAAAAACATGTTTACAAATCTTGACAAAATGATATTAAAATTTATATGGAGAAACAGAAAAACAAGAATAAGGTACACATTAATGCAAAGGCCAAAAGAAAAAGAACGTTTACACCTACCCAATATTAAGAAATATTATTGGGCATCACATTTAAAAGTAATAAAAATATAGTTAGATAATAACGAAGAAACAGGATGGAGGGAAATGGAACAAAACTCATGCCTGAAGACACCCCCCGAATCGTTGCCATTTGTAAGAAAGAATATTCAAAATAAATCAAAAATTGCAAATGAATGGGTTAAAGCAACATTAAAAATATGGGCAATTGTTAAAAGAAAGTTAAATATGTTAAGTTTAATTTGTAGAGCTACTAAAATAGCATCAAATCCAGACTTTAAACCCTCAATGGAAGGGGGATTTGAAAAGTGGCAAGAAAAGGGCTTGGTTTATATCAGACAACTTTTACAAAATGAACATATGAAATATTTTCAACAGCTAAAAAATGAATTTCATTTGACTACAAAAGATTTTTATAAATTTCTACAAATTAGAGATTACTTGACCAAACATAAAGATTGGGAATATATTCTGAAGAAACCAAATTGTTTAGAGGAGACCTTAATGACGAACTTTAACACTACTAAAAATGTTATTTCAAAGTTATGTAAAGCCCTGCAGAGAGAAGTAGATGATAATCAGGATATAAAACAGAAATGGGAGAAAGAAGGAAATATAATAATATCAAAAGAAAGGTGGGAGGAATCCTTCATGGTACGACATACAATGTTGAGTAATGTTTCATGGTAAGAGTTTGAATGGAAATCAAAAATGCAATTCTTTATTGTACCAAGTGTCTCATCGAATACAGTAAAATGTCAGACAAGTGTTGGAGGGGCTGTGGCCAGAAAGAAGACTTCAAACATATATTCTGGGATTGTCTCAAAATTAAAGAATATTGGAATGATGTAGAGAAAAAGATTAAAACTATTTGTAAAGAAAAATTTAACCTAGATTTACAAACATTCCTGCTGAGCATTTTACCCAGTACATTGTTAAAGCCACAACCCCCGACCGACCTTTGGTGGGAAAGAGTACAGGAAGTGATGGGAATGGAAAAAATAACAGCAAAATTACAGTTTGAAGATAAATTGCTTTAAGAGACAACCCTAACCCTAACCTTTACTTATGGAGATAGAAAAACCTTCACTGCTCTGGAACTTTAACTGTAATAATTTTTATCTTTGGAATGGAAAAGAATACAGAACGTGATGGATTAACATATTAAATTGTTCTCTCTAAACTTTAGAATTTTTTTTTTTCTTAATTAAGTATTTGTATTTGTCTTGGCTTTTGTAATTTGTTTTGTTTGTATTTATAAATCAACACCTAACCCTAGCCCTAACCCTTTGGGAAAGGAAAATGTAAACAATTTCTGAAATTCTGTAAAGAAATGGTCTATGCCTTTACCAAATAAAAAAACAACAAAAAATCACTTACAAATAAATATTTCAAACCTGTTTTATTTATGTCTGTAGAAAAAAACCTTCAAATCTTAACATGTCACATCAAGTTCAACAAGAAGTTAAATAATCAGTTATTCAGGTTTACAGAGTTTACTTAGACATAATAAAAGGTTTGACCAACAAAGGCAAATACATCAGGATAATTGTTTCTAAGAATATAACTTTTGTTATAAATGAGAAAGTCTTAATAATCTGTAGCAGGTCTCCAGTGTAAAATAGAAAGTGGACAGATTGAATTATTTGGATCTTCAGTGACACCAGGTCATTAAGTCTGAAAGATTAGTTCGTTCATGAAGAGGTGAAAAAAAAAGTTCTCTTCCCATCCTTTAGAATAAAAATAGAAAAATGCCTTTATTGCCCCACTATGGGAATATTGTGGATTTTACCCAGAATGTAAAAGATGTTCCCTGATTTTTCATTCTTTAAAATTTCTCAGATAAACATTTTAACCAAGCTGGGCCTTTTTTCTTAGACTCCACCCACTGGGGGTTTCTCCCCAGCTCTACAGCTCCTTTCAGGACAGCTTCCTGGGGTCTGAGAGGAACCATGACTTTATACTGATGTCCAAACTGATCAATGATGTGCTGATGTATTATCTGGCTCTCAGCCAACCCCCCCACTAACACAATAGACCCAATGCTATGATGTCTGGTAAATATTTCTCTGAGGCTCTCAGTGATGCCCTGCAGAGTCTCAGCAAAGAAAGACATCAGTTTCTCTCTGGTGATTCTGATGGTTCCTTCATCCCAGGAAGCTCCTTCTACTGATTCAAAGAACATTTCAATGTCTTTCTTTTTCTCGGCCAGGTCTACTAGGCTAGTTGGACATGTGATCGGATTCTCATCATCTACCTGTTTTAAACAGGTAAAATCATTTAGCATCATTTGAACCTCACTCTGATATTTTTCTTCAAATTCCTCCCAGACTCCGTCACAGAATATTTCTCCCAGGAATTGTTTAAATTTATTGAGCACATTTTTTCCCCCTTTTTCATTTCCAGGGAACTCAAACAGCTTCTGCAGGACTCCTCCTTCCAGGACTTCATGAGCAGTGAAGTTAATCGTTTCATCTGTTAACAAACAGCAAGAGAATAAAAGGGATTCATGAATTCATTTAAGTAAAACATTTCAGTATCTAATAGGGAAAAACATCAAAATACATGTAATTTTGTGTGTCCTTTGTTCAGCTTTGTCTTTCTTTTATTCAATGATAACTTTAGACACTGCATCTGGAAAATATTCACAGCGCTGAACTTTATGTCACACAGTTTATGTTTAAGCATTATTCAAAGTTGTGTTCAGTTAATCTCTTTCTTTAAAATCATACTAATCATACTAATACCCAATTAAGGCCATGTGGAAAAATATTTTTGAGATTGTCAAAAATTATAAAAATAGGAAACCAGTAAATCACATTTAGATACTTAATCCTTGTTTGGCTGCAGTTACAGCCTTTGATGTTTATCAGTATGATTCCAAGAGCTCAGCTCTCCTATGTTTATGTAGTTTTACTAATCCTTGTTTGACATACTTCTCTATCAGTTTGGCTACGTAGCCATTTTCAGGTCTGAACTCTGGCTTGGCCTCTTCAGGACCTGAGAGGTTATAAAGCCTCTGATATCTTGACCATGTGCTTTTGGTCACAGTCCTGCTGAAACATGATCCCTCCAGTCTGACATCAAGAGCAGCTCTGGAACTGCTGTTCATCCAGTCTGTCTCTGAACATTGCTGCATTCATCTTTCCTATGGTTTCCCTCTAGTCTTCAGTCCCTGCAGCTCCTCATAGCATCATACTGCCACCACCATGCTTCACAGTAGTCTATGAAGGCATTTCTTCCAAACATTGCATCTGATATATACACCAAACATTTCAATGTTCGTTTCATCAGAGTAGAGTAGAGAATTTTTTCCTGGTAAACCCCTGACAGGCTCCCCTGATCCTTTTGTCTGTTAATTCTACCATATATGCCTGATTTGTGGATTGCTGGAGATACTTGTGTCCTTCTGGAAAGTTTTCCACTCCCCACAGAGGAAAGCTGGAGCTCTGACAGAGTGACGATCAAACCGATGGTCACTGCATTGACAAAGGTTCCTTTCTCCTGATCATTTTAATCGGTCGGATAGATAGGAAGAACCCTGCTGGTTCCAAACGTCTATTTACCAACAATGAAAACCACTGAGAACATTGGAACGTTCAAAGCAGTAGAAATGTTTGTGTTGGTTTCATGCTTTTTGTTTGAACTCTGACCTGTTCTGTCAACCGTAGGACCTTATATAGAAAAGTGTAAGTGTTTCCAAATCACCTCTAATCAGCAGCGAACTTTCATTTAAACTGTAGAAACATCTGAGGGATGATCAGTGGACAGAGCTCCATGCTGAGCTGTTTCCACTGCACATGTTTACCTAAAGGTGACTTCTTGGTTTTCTATTGTTTTTAATAAATCTGGAAACATCCCACAAAATATTTTCATTATGGGGAATTTATTTTTAGAGTTTGAAGGAAGTAATTCGGTTTAATAGAATTTGCTATTAAGTTGTGATATAAACTGTAAAGTGGTGTTAAGATGTTGGATACAATGTGTATAAATATTTTTAATATTTATACACAAAGTTTTTTTTCTTTTAAATGTTTGCTTTTTTTTTTTTTTTTAGATATTTATAATGAAATATCTTAATTATGAGCAAAGCTGAACCAAAGTCAACATCATTGTTTTTGTTCACAAACAAATAAAGCAGGTTTTGACTGTTTGAATAAAAGTGTACCACATTTACCTCCACAGTCGACAACAACATATCTTTTCATATTTGTTTGTCCCTTCAGCAGGTTTGCAGTTTCTTCTGGTTCCATCTCAAGGTTTACTGTCGCCTGACTTCTGGATGGGTCTGTAAAAAAACAAAGAATCTAAAGCGACAGGCTTGTTATCTGAAATATGCTCCCTGCTGGAGGTAACATCTCCTTCTATTGCTGCTTCCACAGCAACACCACCAGTTTGCAACATAAGCTCTTTGCACATTGCTCAAAGGTTTAAGGTAAGAACATCAAAAACAGCTTTTGGATAGGATTTTACCCAACAATGAAATCAGTCACTCTCCCAAATAATTAAAAACAAATAGTGGGAGTACCTGCGCTAACATAGTGAGATGTTTGGAAGGTTTTTAATATTTTTCGCTACTATCGACAAAAACATATATTCCCAGTTTTGTTGTTTGATTTTTTGGAAATATGCCATAATGTTATAAAAATTTTATATTTTTGTAAGAATTTGTAATCAGAAATTGTTTAGTATGATATGATTTATTATATTTTATGATATTTTTTATATTTTATTATATAAAAAATTAAGACAAATAATTAATTTCACTACTGGGCTGCAAAATATTTATCTCACTAAAGCAGAAGAGATTCCTGCCAATGACAACATAGCAGTTGATAACTACTCAATCCACTGCTCAGGTAGACAGACTTCTATTTTTTGTGCCTCATATATGGATCTAGAAATTCCCCCTGGAAAATTCTTAATCAGTTTTACCTGGAACACCTGCTGACGTGCCTCTTAAGCTTCAACCAATCAACGACGGACCGTACCCTCTCCGAAGCCAATCAATTCTTAAGATGCTCTTCATTAAGACAAAGGCCATGATTCCCCATTCAATGCATCAGCCAAACTTTGACCCACCTCCATCCCATCTCCTCCCTCACTCTTATAACCCTTCCCCACTGGCAGAAAAACCTGTTAAAACACGCTAACAATGGGCTAACAAACTTCAAAGGTCAAACGACTCTGCAAGCATTTACCCTCTAATTACAGTGGAAAAGAGGCTATAGAGTATTCTTAGACCCTCTCATCCTCTGATTTATTCCAACACCACTCTCTGGCCCCAAGGTGAAGTCTACTCTAATCCTCTTCCTAAGTTATTCATACAAACTTAAGAAAACTAATATCAACATGTCTTCTACAGCTCTCCAAGCACCAAATAACTTATTTCATTCATATAAATATTATATTTCTAAGCACCTTTTTTCTCTGTGTGTGTTTGCAAACTCAAACTGTAACCCACTAATTAGTGAATTTTTTTTTTTTCCCTTCTGCTTACCTGTTGCAGTATTTTCTTTTCCTACCCACCCCCGCCCCAGCAAAATCTAAAGAGATTGGCCTGTATGCTAATTCAATTAAATTCAAAAATATTTAAAAAAATATTAATTCCAAAGGTAAATGAAATGTTGCAGTAACTTATATGTTATTTTTATTAACAGTTGTTGTAGGTATTGAAAGCAGCAGTCAGGAAGGTTATTCTGTAGCAGTCTGACTTTCTCAAACCTTCCAAGAAGATCCCAAAACAACACCTGAAGCATTGCAGACTTTGATCATAAATACAGGATCAGAGTTTTAGCTGCTAACCGCTGTTTTGGCCATTTTATTCTTTTTAAAATGATTTTTTTTTTTTATGTTATTCCAGTTTAATCACTGATACCCTACTGAACAAAACAAATCAGTGAACATAATATACAGCTGTAGACCTTGCAATTGTCACAGCAAACATTGATCAAAATTTCAATGTGAACATAACAGACTTTAAAAGTAATCCAAGCATTACCTCCACTGCTGAGATCCGCAGGTCTTATTTCTGCAGATTGATCCTGTGAGTCTCTGCTGTGGCGCCCCTTGATGAACCTATCAGGAGGAAGCTTCAAACACCAGGCCAAAGCTGCTTCTGAGTCCAAAGCAAATGTCAGTTTGCTTTTTGTTCCTTCAGTTACAAGACCAGCCTAGAAGAAGAGAAATGAAGAGTTTCATTCTTATGAACATTTCAGAACAACTCTGCTCTGTGAAAGCTTTATTTTACCTGCATTGCAGAATCTTTTAAAAACTGTCTAGCTTTATGACCCCAGCTGGCAGGAACATTCAGCACCCAGGTGAAGTCAGAGACTTCAATCTCTCCCACTGTGGTATGGGCATTGATGGTGTCCAGAGCATCGTCCTTCAGATATCTTAGAACTTCTGTAAACACCTTCAAGGCCTTCATTGACTTCCCATCGGCTGCTTTAGCTGTCTGATTCCCGGGATTCTGGGTATACATATATTTAATATGTTAGACTGGTTTCACACACAGATTAGGTTGTCCGCTTTAAATAAGACTACAACCTAAATACACTTTATGAAGATCATCAGAGTCAGTTAAGCTGTTGTTGCTACAATCACTTAGGTCTGTTATGTTCTTTGTACATCATAAGTTCATAACAGAACCAAAACCATGACAGTATTAGTATTGGTGGTACTGGCCCTGTATTTACTAGGTATCAGATCGATACCAAAATGTGTAGTATTTCACATATCTATTGCAAATCCTGCACTGGCTTAGATAAATAATTCTAACTAACAAATAAAAATTCCTACACCAACGACTAGACCTTATTAAACACAGAACTTAATACAAGAAATACTGTCAGGAGCTCGGAACTTAGGACCCAATATTCAAGCAGACAGAACAGGGTGATTTCAGAACAAATGTTTATGAGAATGTGAACGTGCAGCTGGTTGTCAGCTGGGGCGGATTTACTGGATACTCTGTAGAGATAGAAACTAAGGTAAGTGACTTATAATCCTAGACGGGCCATGACTATGAGCATAAGTCACTAATCTGATTCTGAGTTACATTTGGCCCCTGAGCAAGGAACTGAACCCAAAAGGGAGGTTTTTCCACAGCTTGCAGTGGGAGCCACCCCCATAGTTCCAAGTTATCAGCAGAGCAGGCAGATAAGTAGGAGCCAGCTGACACGGAGTATCTGTGGGGGGAAATCCAAAGCTGGAGTCATAGCAGAACCTGGTTACTGGACTAGAAGATCAGAGAACCAAGGAGGTACTGGAGGAGAACACAAGCCATGGTTAGGAGACAGGTCCAAGTTCAGTCGAATCTGGCAGATCAAGCTAGCAGTGTCAGAAGGCTCAGAAAATACGACCCAGAATTCAGGTGAGATAGAGAGAGGTATATTCAAAAAATAGTTTATAAATTAAGCGTGCGGCTGCTCGTCTGCTGCGTAGGGCTCACTGGAAACTCCGCAGGAGTAGAGGCTTAGGTCAGTGACTTCAAAACTCAAACTATGGATAATAGTGTTGTCCCGAGCAGCTGAAATCCTTTGCTTTTTACGGAGCCGGCACCAGAGATCCAGGAGAGAAGAGGAGCAGCGTCCTTCAGCAATCCGAGAATATATGGGAACTGAAAGATCCAAAAGGGTCATCCAAACCGTGGTCAGAAGACAGGTCCAGGGTCGACACCAGGCGGAATCCAGGTAACAGTCCAGAACAAACAGAACAGGTAAATAAAGCAAACTGCGGATCGAAAATTCAGAAAGTCTGCAGAAAACAGACAGGAACTGGCAGAACCAAACAAAGGGAAGACTAGTTAGTCGTGCTAGAAAAATTAAATAATCTGGCACCAAAGGCTGGAGCCCAGAGGCTCAAATAGCAGCAGCATGTAAGGAGAGGGTGGAGAAGAGTAGAGCAACAAGAAAAAAATCCCCTCTCTAGCCTTACCCTCTGACCATAACCACCATACGGATGGTAAGGATTTTCCTCACCTCTGAAATCCGTCCTTCCATTTTTAAAACTGCAATAATCACTCCCAAGCTGAAAAAACATGGGTCAAATCCATGAAAAAATA